GCGTTTTGGGAAGCTTGCGAAAGCACGGATAAAAGAAGAAAGCCGAGGAACTTTTTCGTGTCAGCGAACGAACAATGGAGAGGTGTAAAGTGAAAAATAAATGGAAGAAGTCGAGGGCGAGAATAAGGAAACCCAAGGCAGCGGCAGAGCCGTATTTTTCGTTGCCCCAATAAACTCGTTTAATCAGCAGCGATTACTTTAACGGATTTATTGACAGTCGTGATGCAGTGAATTACATTGGATGTAATTCTTACGATTGCTAATTTCGAGTCCGGTACACAAGAAGGCAAAAGCGGAAGAAGGGGAGGAGAGAAAAACGGTACGTGAAATGCAGTGCGAGCGTCGAGTACCTGAACTTTTTAGCTCGATCGAGGATCGTTGAGGGTGTAGAAGAAGGAAAGTTTTAACGGAATAACAGAGAGAGAGAGAGAACCAAGAGAAAACGGGTTGGACAAAGATGAAAAGAAAAGTGCGATGCGTTTCTAGAGCGCGATTAGATGGATGGATGGACGGATCGATTAACCACGTGATATAACGTAGAAGTTTACTACGTAGAAAACAAAAGAGCAAAGTGTGGCAAACAACGAGAAGATAATTAATCCTTACAATATTTCACTTTGCATATTTCTTTTTACACAGCAAGCTTTTTTTTATGCGCAAAAATTTTATAGGGATTGATTTATTATTTTTATTGTAACATATTTGAAATTTACACATACAAAAATGGTCGCGAAATATAATTGCAAATAAATTCGCGACTTTAGATATATTATATTTCACTAGAAATGATTTTTTTTTTTACAATTGAAATTTTGAGATATGCATTTATACGCAGTTTTTTTTTTATATAAAGACGGATTTTCCATCCTCTCCTTCGCGATAAAAATATCTTGAAAATAATATCCATGTTTGAGAACATGTTTATTTCGCTAGGTCGGAGTCGAGCTGCGGCGCAATACGAGAGAGATAATTTTATCTTTAAAGCGCATCGCGGGCTCATGGGTATACCGTCATACCTTTTTTTACATGTTCGTGGGAGCCGAAAGGGAGGTAGGGTGTAAACAAGGGAGGCTCGGAGAAGCGCCACTCGTCGCTCGACTTGCCGTAGACGCGATCGAGCGTTACATCGCGGATCGATCCGCAGGATGAAGCCCTGGCGGGTGAACTCGCCGGGCGTGAAACGCTTCTGTGAAGAGGCCTCTTTAGAGGATCCTGGACCGTGCGCTTCCTCCTCTCTGGCAACATTTTTTTTTTTTTTTATAAAATGTTTTTATAAATGTTTTTCCCTCTAATGAAAAAAAAAAAAGAGGGAAGAGAAGGAGAGAGGAAAAAAAAAGTGTGATCATCTGCCCCCTTTTGCCTCTATTTGTCCATCGTAGCCTTTTATTATCGGTTTCGCCACGAAAAGGGAGTCATCCGGCCGTTCGTTGATCCGATTTGCCGCGTCCCGGGTAGCGCGTGGCGCATTATTTATTTATTATTAGATAGAGCAACCCCCTTGCCCCGCGTGCGCATACCACCGTATGCGTTCATCGAGACCATCCGACAACAACAACAACGATGAGGAGGAGCAACTCGGCCGCGATAAATCGAATGAAGAAAAAAAAAAAGAATAGCCCGGTCACGCTTTCGTGACCGAGAAGATACATATTAAATTAGCATTAATCCTGCGGTATGCGAGTCACGCGCCTGCCAATTTCTCTCTGGCTTCTTAATGAGCGTTCCTCCTTCAAAAAGATTTGATAGCCCGCGCTTCTGACGCCGCCTAATTTGCCGCAGATGCTTGTCATCAGAACTTTTGGTTTCCTTGTATTCTCGCCCCCAAGCGCGAAACTTTAGGGTTTTTTTTATGGTTTGTTGGGAGATAGATATATGACAAATATTATAAAATGTATACATATATATATATATATTTCTCGCGAAAAAAATCTGGGAAACATATGGAGTTTCAAGATTTTAGAATGAAGCCCTATTTAATTTCCTTTAAGTATTTACTAACTTTAAATACTTATTTAACTCCCCCTCCCGTTTCGCCGAGAGCGAGACAGATACAAGAATAAAATAGCGAGCGAGATGGAGCGACCTTTTATGAAATCGATTATTTTTTAGCTTTCGCCATCGAACAAGACTCGAGATTCGCTCGCGCGAGAAATGGAGGGAATAACTCCGCTGTCTTATAATCCGGGCAAAAATCGATCTTATGATCCTGGGAACCATTGTAAATCTGTCATCTATCGTTACCAATTGGTAGAAATTGAACTCTATTCCCGGGAAGGCATCGCAATTGTCCTCCACTTTCCTCTACGACAGCGCAGAACTGCTGAAGTTTCTCTTCCAATTCGATTTCCCGATGTTCCATTAAAAGTTCCCAAAAGGCTGGTCGATTTTTTTTTTTCGAAACTTTGACGCTTTTGGTTTTGTTGCATGCTATACTTTGCGGCTAGCAATTTCAATTTCAACTTTTAGTCTAATGTCTTTTCGTGATTTTAAATGAATAGAGAAAGAGAGGAAGAGAAATATAGTCGATTAAAACATCTTCAAAAAATTTCCACTGATAATGTTATCAATCTTAACATTAAAACTTGAACAGTTGAGTTTCAATAAATCCGTGACACGTAAAGTCTGATATCGTTTTAATTACATGTAATTTATCGCTTTATTCGCATATTAATTTTGTCATTCATTAAATCATTGCTTCTCTAATGAAATTGGTTATGTAAATGATTGTGGATAAACAGATGTAATTGCTTTGATATAGATATCGACTATCGCGCAAATTGACAATTATTTGCTCTTTTATTTTGCTAATTACGTTTGCGCTAAATGTAACTAAATTATATCAGATTAAGTTTTATTGCTTCTTTGAAATTATAATAATGTGAAAAGAATAACTAATAATAATAAATTTTATTTTTACCGTACAATTATATTAACAAAAAAATATATAATTTGTTTAATCAAAAATTTTTCTTAATTATATAATCATATATATCTAATATGTATATAATTATATAATTATATATATATGTATA